TTGTTACTTATTCATCACCAACTTTGTTTTCTTTATTTTCTCTTGTTTATTCATCAAAGTTTACAGTATTTTTATGTTCTTTTACCAATAATATAATACAAAGATTATGTAGGTGTTTCAAGTTTTCTATGTTTACTACTAAACAAGATGTTCTGAACTAAAATTGTGACACAGTACGCACGGTATCTCACTTAATGAGGAGGAAGCGAAATTTATTCAGTCAAAACAATTTATTGAATAAATTTATAGACAAGTTGGCTTACTAGTTACAAGCATATAAGAAAGTCGAAACTCTGTGCTTATAGTTCAGCAATCTATTACGGGAAACCTTGTACCGAGAAAAGAAGAAACTGTAAGAAAGGAACCGGTAAGAAACTGCAAGGGCTGCTTTTGCACCCTGTTTAATTTCGTACTGAAAAATAAAAAATGACTTCATTGGACCAAAATGTCACTTTCCACCAAAACAATAAAAAATATATAACAGACAAAAAAAAGCATAATAATTCATTCGTCAATCGACTCATTAAAAGCTTATTATAGTTACCGTGGTAGTTATCTTGGACAGTAGTCACACTTCCCGTGGATGCAAAATTAAACTTATGTTAAAAAAACTATTTAATTATAATTGCAAAATGTCAACTTGACAATATATATGGAAATAATTATAAAACACGATTGATATTATTGTAAAACTTTTAAGATATATATTTTGGTACTATAGTTCTTAAAACTATGTAAAATTGGCTATATTAGAGGAAAAAGAAACATATTTATCGAGGTACAATCATATTATAAATTATATTATTAAATAATATAAATGTGAAAGTTTGTGAGGATGGATGTTGGTTACTCTCATGTAAAAACTACTGAACGGATTTTGATGAAATTTGGAATACGAATAATCTTTTACCCGTGGGAAGCGCCATCATACGCTGGTAACATATGTTATATTTACTATAGTGACGCAACGGAGTCGCAAGAACAAAGAACGCAAGAAATTTTAGATGTCCAACAAAATACGAGCAAAAGATTGCTTAATGATTTATAAATAATTGATAAATTCACGCCACTTTTAAAAAAATATTATTTTCTTGATACTGGCGTGAATTTTTCAATTTAATTAATAATAATCATAAATAGGATTGGTACGTAAGTGTGAAATGAATAGAAGTGTAATAGGTAATAGTTTAGCCATGCCCCTAACAATGAAAATTATATTATATTATTTAATAAGTAGTAGTATTGTAGCAGTTTCACGAAATACTAACTTTTATTTAATATGACTTCAATGTCGATACAAATATCGATATCTTGGGTCACGCCCTATGACAATCCGCCATCGAAGAATTTGCATTTGAAGTTTAGGCATATACGCTTTTTTCGTAGGTATGGCCGGTCCTCTTCTTTTATGTCTATGAGTTTAGGCATATACGCTTTTTTCGTAGGTATGGCCGGTCCTCTTCTTTTATGTCTATGGTAAACAGAATCGTGATTGGTTGTGACGACGACCAAAGAGTAGTATAATATATGACGACGACCAATTATAGGACGTTTTCGTCGTTGAACAAATTCCTAAAAACATTGCATTTTCTTTACGTTATTTTACTAAATCTAAACATCTTTTTTCTGCAGATATTAAGAAATAAGCTTTTTTAGATTATTATGTATCAGGATGACCACAAAATGCAACTTATTTTCGATAGTGTCAAATACCCTATTTATTTCTGTGACAAAGACAAAGGAGCAAGAGGAACAAGTAGCAATAAATTTGTTCTGTGATCATTAGTGATGCTAGCCAGTGCCCAGTAAAACACCCCTAAAGCGGGTACTTTTGGTCTTTATAAAATAAGTATACAATTGATATTCCCATAGTTTCAAGAATACCTTTAATTATTTATTGTGCAGCTATCGTGAGTTTGACGACATTACTTTGAAATGGTGTATAATTTTAAGATAAAATGAAACAAATGTTAAGCGTAAAAAATCTTGAATAATATTGACATTGGAGTAATTTTATTCGTAATGATTGAGAGAACACTATTTAAAAAAAAATTTAATATGCGCTGTTACAAAGATAATGTCAGCTATTTATTTCTGTAGCGACATATTGATTATAACAAAACATTTCGTAATATTAGATATCAGAAACAAAACGCTTTCTTATTAATAAAAATATGTTGACAATAATAGACAGCGCTTCAAATAAATCGGAAAGTAATTTTAAGATTAAAAGTTAGTGTTCATAATCATATAAGAAGTGGTTACATAACCTTTTAGAAGACTTATTTTAGTAATTTATTTATATTGCATATTCTTATGTAATAAATCTATTCTATAAAATTGTGAGGAAGATAGAATCCAAGGCATAGGTTATAAATATTGGACTGTACATCAAGGATTTTTAGCAAAAAATATGCATTATTCATGTTAGAGCTTAGAGTATTAAGCCGACAACAGTTGTGACCGGTAGGCGTACCCCTCTGTAAAATTGTTCGTTCCCTCCTTCCTTGTCATTTACGGATTGCAACACACGTGAAAGGAGCTCCGACAAAAAAGGCTACTTGTAGCGCATTTTAATGTAAAAAGAGTTCACGATCATCCAGATCGAAAAAGGATAATGTTAATTAATTTTTAAGCATATTTCATTAAGAATGTTTTCAAGTTTAGCATTGTGAATGCGTAATTGATCAAATATAATGATGGATAATGTGACTTCCCACGTATAAGTATTTGTCCGATTCGTTCGTTCTTTCCATGTATAGGTATAATTTTGGTCAATTATGTAATATATTCGGAAAAAGAGTGTACCGTGAATAGATATATCAGAATTGATGGCAAAAAAACATTGATTTCATATGCCAATATAAATTGTCTACTGTTGACAACTGTAAATGGATGTGAATATATATGAATTCGTTATATGCTTTAATCATTATATGATTTAAATTGATTATCCCAAAAAGATCTCAACCGAGAAATATTGTTTTTAATGTTTATAGTAAAATTTATGAAAAGAAGCTGAAGATCAATTTTATTTTTATTTTAAAGTTTGTTTATGAATTGGCCCGTAACTAGTAATGAGAGTCTTGACACTCTCGATGATATATTTTTTTAACAACTAATTCGTAAATAATCGTTGGCGTGTCGACTACAATAATACTAATTATGTGTGAAGGAGAATATATGAAGACATTTTTCTAACCGGATAAAAATATGAACGAGGTAAAGAAGGAAATAAACTAAAGCAGACTTAGTTTAGATGTGTAAGCGTAACAGCAGTTGCAATATTAGTAGAGATTAGCAATTAAGAAATACTTAAAGTAAAGCTTATTTTATTTATTCGATTCCGAGTCAGGTAAAATATTATTAGATATTTGTAAATATAGAGTGTATAGAGTTTAAAGTATATTTTTGTGCACTACATTATGTCCTATTTACATGTCTAATCTATATCAAAATTTGCCGACATAGGAATATTAATATTCAATGTTATGATACTGTCATTGAAAAGTGTTTAACATGTGATATAATCCTTGAATAACACAAAGCTTCTACCGTCGACGACATCGTAATACAGTGTGAGCTATCTTTTCGTGTATAACCGCCGCCGAGCCGAGTTAGTCAGTGATCTTAAAAATCTCGTACATAAAGCTCGTATATCTATCATCCACTGTTATAGAAGGGGAAACTACCAATTCTTAACTAGCATTACCGGTGGTAAAAAAGAGGTACTTGTATTTGTAGTAGTCTGTGGATGAGATCTGTCTGTCACTGTCATAGGGATGTTCGATATTAGAAAAACATTGATGTTGAAATCGATGTCATTATCGTAAGCCCAACATCGATGTTCGATAATTATCGAAAACTAAACATCAATGTTGGAAAACAACGATGATTTTTTGCAATAATTTACAAAGAAATAAAATACAGTGAAATCTTTCGAAATTTATTGAGAAACAGAACAAATTATTACATATCCTAATGTTTTTTATTAACTGATTGAAGGAAAACTAATTTTGATAAGCAAGAACCTTTTAATTTATTTCTTTATTGATAAAGAGTAGAGCCAGCCTTTGTAAACATGTATGTAAAATATGTATTTTAAGATATGTATGTATTACATACATAAAAATTCATATGTATTACATGGAAAAAAAAGAATCTTTTTGAACCTTTACACCTTCATTGTGAAACAAAATCAGCAAGCAGTTAGTATCATAATCTTCTTACAAGCAACTTATTTATTTTTGTTCTCAAATAACCTTTAAAATAGAAACAGTAGTTGAAGTACATTATTGGTTAAATTACTTCAAAAGTACTTCATTAGTGGGCAAAGAAATAATAAGTCAAATAAATAATTTATCATACCTGTGTTTTCGAGTCCGATGTTTAATTATTATTATTTACAAAATTAAGCAACTTAAATTCACGTATTTCACTTTCGCTTCACACTTGTCTTAGTGTCACAAGAAAATCACGCGAGAGATGCGAGAGAACGAGCACAACGAGCATAAAGTAAATTATAGGGTACCAAAGAGCGCTGAACTTGATAGATTTATTTTTGACTTCCTTGGAAAATGCCAGCAAAGAAAAAACTATTTCTTTGGTTTCTCCAGTTACGAGAGCAATCGGTGACATCCAATATAAAAATGTCGAACTTGATATACGAGATTATCTAGCTAGTACATCTAGAGCATGTTAGATGACCCTAAGGTTATTTTGATATTTTATTTGTATCGCCGATGTTTGGCTACAAAACATCGATGTGCCGATATTATCGAAATTAAAACATCGATGTTTTCTAGCTGAACATCGATGTTTATACAACATCGATTAATATCGATCATCCCTACACTGTTAGATTTTTTTCTGTCAAGCTGTCATCGGTTGTCAAATTCACAATTTGTTTTGTTTATGTTCCTTCTTTTCGCAGTTCTAATTTCTCTTGATTAAAATATATTCAAGATTAGTTAAAGGAACTTGTTATCCTTCTTCATAAAATGAGTCGGCGTAAACGAGTCAAGGTAACTAAAAAATAAGATTATTATTCTAGTTTCTGCTGTTTGTTTTGTCTAATAGGTTATGTTTTGATTAAGCAGGTCGACAATCGTGAATTAGACGAAAAACTCAAGCAGGATGACTCTGAATCTGATCAGTCAGAAAAAAGCAAAGTCACTTCTTCAAGTCCTACGTCACTCGGAGGACGCCGAGAGTCATCTTCTAGCCGTACAACTGACGTTAAAGATGCTAAGAAAGAAGAGAAACCTATTATTGAAGAGACTAAGAGTGACGATATTGAAGAGATTAATTACAAAGAAATGCTGAATAGGTAGTATATGATTTAATGGTACTTAAACAATCAGAAATTGCAATTCGAAGTATGCATCTGAAAATAATACATAAGACTGTTGCTACAGTGTTTGAAAGTTGTGGGTATTTTTTAATAAATATAATGTTGCATTGTTTTAGTTTGGAAGGTGCTGCTTTTCAATCACGTTTGCCTTTTGATAAGATGTCATCTTTGGAAGCGGAATGTTTTTCTGACTTACAAGGCCCTTCGAGTCATGCATTCATACAGATAAGAAATCGTGTACTGAAACTTTGGTTCGAAGATCCAAAGAAACAGCTGACACAAGAATATGCAGTTCAAAAAATGGAAGTAAGTTAATATTCACTTGTTTGCTTTTGCAGTCTTAATTTTACTACAGAATAATGTTGCAAATCAGTATATTGATTGAAGGGAAGTGCCAAACTCCCATAATATTGATAGAAATTAGTTGATCTGATGTAAGTCTAGATGCTGATTGCAGATAGAGAGAGGAAGAAAAAAATTTTTGTGTTGTAAAACTACTATGTATTTTGAATATCTTTTAATATTTGAGAAATTACACTTGGTTTAGTTGTTAGGCAATGAGATACTTCTCACTAAATTAGAGCATCTACATAATTCCACCATGTGTCTCAGTTCCGCTCTACCCCACCCTATCTCAAGCAATGCCTTTTTTCAACACTCTCCATCCCATTTTTCATTGTGATCTGCTTTCAATCTTACCCTCAAGTTTCGTCACCACTTAACTGACTTTTTCTCTTATTCCTTCTCTGTGCATGCTGTCCGACTGTGAAACTGCCAGAAATCATCAGGAAAGCTCGCTCGCTAAAATCATTTTGTGATCTAGTTAAAATCTATCTCCTTTCCAAATCATGAATATTTATCATAATTTACACTTTTATTTAATATATCCATTATACTTCCTTTATATTCCTCATTTAAGATATATCTGTTCTTTCTTCATACATGTATTTTCCTCCATTAATTGCCTGGAAGATATTGTTATGTAGCAATAAGGCTGCCTTTTTGTATACTGTTTACTGTTTATGTCAAGCTATGTAATTTGTTACTCGTCTTGTGTGTGCAATAAAGTATATTATTATTATTATACCATTGAGGATTCCTATTACAAGCCAATTGATGTCCTATACGAATAATCCAGATAAATAGCAAAAAGAGAAAATGTTGAAATAAAATAAAACAAAAAATTTTAACTTATTGAACAAATTAAATTCAAAAAGCTATCCTTATAATTTAGATAAGCATTTACTATAATATGTTTAGTTACTTAATATTATTTCATGTATATTTATATTATTATTTCTTATGGCTTTTTTTTCCATATAGATAAAATTTTTCTGTTATTTTATAACTTAACATCTAATTTGAGTAGCCAATCTCCTCTTTCGTTGAAAAGTCGTCTTTAATTCTTCTGGAAAACTGGCTTCTGGGACATTGTACACTATGTGCGTGATGGTCTGATCCTGTGCCCTACAATCTCAGGCAGCTGTTCACCTGTATGCCCATTTATGAAGGTACTGGTTGCAGTGACCCACTCTAGTCCTTATTTGGTAAAGCATAACTCAAATGGACCAGCTCTCCATGTATACCATTGGTATTTTTCTGGGGTCAAGATTGAAATCAATATGTTGGTCCTGTCACAGCCTTGCTCATTCTGTGCTAATATTAAAAACTCTCAGTTCTGCATCTGCTAATCAGTCCTAATGGATTTACGGGATCGAAGACGCATATGTGGCAAGTCCTCATTATAGGAAGCGCAAGAGTTAACGCCTTGCATCATTCTCTGTATGAAGTATCAATGAGTGACAGCCATGGGTGTTGGCTTCAAACTTCCCGTAATGGTTCGCATGGCTATATTCAGCTGACCGTCGACTCTATCCACATTGTATGCTTGCGTACCACGCGCACAATATTCCACAGGAGCATATACAAGAGCGATTGTAGAAGTACGCAAAATATCGGCTCGGGTCCCCCATGATGTACCCGCGAGTCCGTTGAGAAAATTGACTCGTGTCTTTAGGTTTTGACTCTTATTTTCTAGGTGAGATCTGTAGTTTAGAGAATGATCGAGCGTCATGCCCAGGTATTTTGGGTTGAAATCATAGCGAAGCCTATTGTTGCAAAACATAATATCGTCCTCTCTACGAGACAAACTGTTTCACAGGTGAAACGGAGCCACCTCAGTTTTGGATGGGTTTGGACAGAGACGCCATTTTCTGTAATATATATTCATACCTCCAAGTCTCTTGTAAGTGCGGCCTTTCCCTTCTTAAAGTTTACGACCTGCATAGTAAGCGCAAGATCATGCATACATAAACTTACTACATTCTGTGGGTGGCATTAAACAGTAGAGGTGCCAAAACCGTTCCGTGAGGGACTCCATTTTTTAGCAGTCTATATCCTATCGTTATATCGCTCATCCTATCGTCCAAAAATATTATGATTTACGAGAGCCGATCATGCTTCCCAGTAAGCGCAAAATCTTCGATGAAGCAAATATTTTATGTAAATTTATATATTCAACTACAAGACTGATAATAGAATTGACCTTTTGTATATTTTGTTATAAGATAGACATTGTTATTTATTTTTCAGCCTCCTTATAATGGAGATCCAGCACTAGTTATGAGAACACATGCATTCCTTGAAAGACATGGTTTTATAAATTATGGTATTTATGAACGTATAACACCTATCCCAGGTCCACAAAAGGGGAAACAAAGACCCAAAGTAATCATTATTGGAGCTGGTAAGTGAACTTGCATTTACATATTTCTTTAAGAAAAATAATTACTAATATTATGAATGTGAAAAAAGTTTGTGAGGATGGATATCTGCATGAATGTTACATTAGCCAGTTATTAGTTTTATTATATCTTTTCAAAATATTGTCCATTCACGTCAATACACCGCTGCATGCGATGGAACCACTGGGAAAAGCACTTTGCCCACTCGTCCTTAGGGGTCTCTTCAATGGCATCGCGATACGCAGCCACCGCTTCTTCAGCATTCATAAACCGCTTTCCTTTAAGTTTTTCTTTAATTTTTGGAAATAAATAAAAATCACAAGGCGCGAGGTCGGGGCTATACGGCGGGTGACCCAGTAATTTAACGTTTGATGTCGCCAAATAGTCGATCGTTCGCTTGGCGGTGTGCGACGAGGCGTTGTCGTGGTGAAGGAGGATCCTACTGCGAGGTCGTTTCTCTCGAACTTTTTCCAAGACAAGTGGCAAACAATTGGTAGTGTACCATTCTGCAGAAACTGTTTTTTGATCCTCTAACACAATTGTTGCAAAATGACCTATCCTTCCAAAGAACGAGGCCACCATTTTTTTTCCCGCACTTCGATCTCTCTTCACTTTAGTTGGCAACTCCTCGAAAGGAAACACCCACTGAGCAGATTGTCTTTTGGTTTTAGGATCATAACAGTAAATCCAGCTTTCGTCACCTGTTAGTATGTCGAACACAGCATTTGAGTCACCTCCGTTAAATCTTTCAATCATTTTACGACACCAATCCACACGATGGAGTTTTTGAGCCTCAGTCAAATTATGAGGTATCCACCGGGCGCAAAGCTTCCTGACCGCTAAATGTTCGTGGAGGATTTTGTGCACTTGACTCATACCGATGCCTAAGCTTGTCCGAATCTGTTGATAGGTCACTCTTTTGTCAGTCTCTATCATACGCCGCACAACACAGATGTTATCTTCAGTCGTCGCCGTAGAAGGCCGTCCCTCACGTAAATCATCAGTGAGATTAGTGCGACCACGTTTAAACTCATTAAACCAGTTGTAAACAGTCGCACGAGATGGGGCTTCATCGTGAAAGGCCAATCGTAGTCTATCATAACTTCTATGGATAATGTCGCTTTTAACTATTGACAATTTTAATGGACGTTTGTGCAAAACTGAGTGTGAGAAAATGTTAATTGCTGTTTATCACTTTAACTATATATTTTTAAATGGCTTTAAAAATATATAGTTAAAGTGAGTGAAGAGTAGAAGTGAATACTTAGCTTGAACCATAATTATAATTTACAAACTGATGATGTTCTCCTGAGTGTACTACGTTCAGCAAGTGTTTCTTTTAGTTATTTGAGATATTTTTAATATTAAGAACCATTTATCTGATATATTGTAAATTTATTCCATTATATGATGTTACAGGAGTATCTGGATTAGCAGCTGCCCGCCAGTTGGTGTCATTTGGCTGTGAAGTTGTTATTCTGGAAGGGAGAGATAGAGTGGGTGGCAGGATTGTAACTTACAGAAAAGGTCCTTATGTTGCAGATTTAGGTGAGTAACATTGTTTGATAGCATTGACATTATCTTTGAAACTATTTAAAGTTCATTAGCAAATTGTATTTTTTTAGAGTTATAATTGTTGAATTTGAGGCTATATTGAACTTTTTTTTTATTAATATAATTTACGACTTGAATCTTATATACTAGAAACTTTGTGTTAGTAAATATTTAAATTTAAAGAAATTTTGTTCTTATAAGAACCTACGATATAAATTCTTGCTTGAAAGATATGGTTTATAACAATGTTAATATATTTTTTTTATTTATTTCAGGAGCCATGGTTGTTACTGGTTTGGGGGGTAATCCAGTAACAACCCTTTCAGTTCAAATGAACATGGAATTGCACAAAATAAAACAGAAATGTCCACTTTACGAAGCAACTGGAAATCAAGTTCCTAAGCATAAGGATGAAATGGTATGTTATGTTACAATAATGGAATGTTGAGTCTAAAAATAATTTATTAATAATAGTAAATTCATAAAATATATATGTTCATTTTGCATGCAGACCAATCAAAGATGAAATAAGTGAAACTTCTGTGGTTTCCATTACACCTCATTAAATTCGTTTCTTTCTATGATGCCAAACGCGCCTAAGATTTTTATCAAGTATTACTAGCGGTCATCATTTTTTTTGCATATTATTTTTATTCCGAATATAATGGCCATGACTGTAGCCGACTACAATGGAAATAAGAATATTTTAATCAATAAAAATTTCCAAGATACAATTGGTCAAACTATGCTGGTAAGGCGTTAAAATACATTAGGAGCTGTAGCGGTTTTTATTTATTCATATTAGTTTTAAAACAAACCGTCATGTTAAAAAGAGGATTGCGGTTCGGTGGGATAGTTTTCATACTAAAATAGGCAAATATCTAATAATTCTTTGCAGTTTTTTTTTAAATGTGCTGTTTTAAAAAAAATATCTGTATCTTTTCAATGCGCTTGGTTTTAGGTTGAACGTGAATTTAATCGTCTTCTCGACGCTACATCTTATCTGTCACACCAAGTAGACTTTAACTATTACAATGACACCCCTGTATCTCTCGGACAAGCATTGGAATGGGTCATCAAACTGCAACAGAAAAGCGTTAAACATAAACAGGTAATAGCTCACTTACCGTTCAAAGTCATAATTATCTTTATTAAAATAAACTTAGAACACCTTTGCCCACTTTAATAATAAAATGCTCTGCAAATTGTTATTATAATGTGTGCAATAAAGTGTTTATCTATCTTATAAAATGTATTTTTGAATCGTGCAACATTTTTTACTCACCACTCGTTCAGGACGTCTTTTGGCTGATAGAAGAAAGAGTAAAAAAACTCGCCAGCTCAAACAGATGTAACGACATTTACAAAAATCATGTTGCTACCAAAGCAATATTAACAATATAAATCTATACTAATATTATAAAGCTGAAGAGTTTGTTTGTTTATTTGAACGCGCTAATTTCAGGAAGTTCTGGTTCGAATTGAAAAGTATTTTTTGTGTTGAATAGACCATTTATCGAGGAAGGCTTTAGGCTATATAACATCACGCTGCAACTATAAGGAGCGAAGAAATAATGGAAAACGCGGACGAAGTCGCTGGTGGCCACTAGTTAATTAAATATCACCAAAAACTTACTATCAGATTATGAGGTCACCATCACCAGCCTTTTAATGTTCCCTAATTGCTGGGGCTCACGCCTTCCCTATGGATGGAATCGGATCTTGAAATTTGGCCATGACCTACCACACTGGTCCAGTGCGGATTGGTGGGTATTAACGACTGCAGATGCAGCCGGCACCAACGGCTTAACGTTACTTCTGCAGCAGCTTAATATGATAAAGTTTCGGTCACCCATCCGATGACCGGCTATTGCTCAAGAAGCTTAACACCATATCGCAGACCAAGCATGCTGCCTACTGCACTACCGAGCGCCATTATGACGTAACTTTCATTAAAATCAAAGACTAGCAACTACTTCACAATTTATGACTTGTTTATTAATGTGCAATAGTTTTAACTTTTTCGAATCATTTTGTAGTCGTTGTCAGTAGTAGTTCGTTAAAATATTCGGTTTAGTTTGAAAGTGATGTACTAATATTAATGCTAGAAATAGTAATAAATTAACATTGCTTATCACTAGACTGCAAAAAGTTATTCATTCAGGGTTCTTTGTGTGGTTTTCTATGATAAAGATCCGAGACTTTTTCTACACTAATTATATTTGAAAAAATTATCGTGTCACTACACGATAAATTTTATTATTTTTTCATATAATCGAAAGTGATTTCACAGTCTAATTATGTAATTTTTCAATTGGACGTCTTTGTATGAAATAAAACGGCGAGTTAAGTAAACAGCCCTTTCTGAGTTTCTTGAAGAATTGCAGCTCAAGATCTCTGACCGTAGATTCTCAATTTTTCCCTTAACATAAGAACGTAATTCCTACTACAAGATATTGATTGTATGGTGAAGTTCAGAGTTAATTTGGTAATGAGGAAGTATTTAAAAAACGAAAGCACTAAAAAGCACCTCCACTAGATGGCGACTCTAGCAAAAGTTGATTTTTGCAGGAAACGAATGGACCAAAGACAGTAATTTCCGTTCCTTTTAACTAACATATTAAAAAATTGAAAAGTTCGAAACTTAGATATTAATACGAGTACAAATACGAAAAAGTACAAATAGAATATGAGTAGTTTACTTAGTTTTGAAAACTTATTTACTTTTAAACATGAAAGAAAACCGGAAGGGTTGTCATTGAGAAATTAAGAACGTACCGTAGATCTAGTGTGATTTAGGGAACTAATTTTTTTTTAAAATACTTTTTCATTTTCTCCTATGGAGCTATAAATTCACATTTTGTACAGTCAGTACCATTAGGCATATTAATTGAAAACTAGAAAATGACTCATTTTAATAACACCTTATATGACTATTATAACTTGTAACTTGTTGTTAAAAATAAATTTCAGCGATTTATGTTTCGGTGTCCTCTTAATGTGTGTACTTATAACAGTGTCTTATTACAGATACAACATTTGAAAGCCGTTATCACGATGCAAGAGAAACTAAAAACAAATATTAACAAGTGAGTATTCGAACGTATTTTAATATGATGTTTGGAAATTAGTAAATAGAGTTTTACCTATTGGGTGTTTTCACACTGCGACGATAACGACAAGACACGATACTCAAATATCGTCGACTCGGACGACAACGATATCGGTACGTGACACGATATAACCAAAAGCTTGCTAGCAGTTAGGGACCATCCGTTAATCAAGTGATGTTTTTTTCAACATTTTTTGACCTCCCCTCCCCCTTGGTGATACATGATGAGGTTTAAAACTACCCCCTCCCTCCTTCAACCAAATCACGTGTATATAAAAAAAAAAACAAAAGAATCTTAATTTTTGACGTCGCTTTTCGGTTTTATAATCGCGCGTCGAGGAAAAATAAATACACGTGATATATTACTACATTTGTGATATTTCGTGATTTTTGACGAATCCCCCCCCCCCCCCCTTTCGAGCCTCACGTGATTAATGGACGGGCCCTTAGTGTAATTGAATATTCGTGGTGATAATACAGCAGTGAACATTTACAAGTTACATTTGTTTTACTTTTTATATATACGGTGAAAAATTGAGTCGTCACCCGATATCGCCACGACAATCTGTCGGCGACGACAAACGAGGATATCTTGTCGTTACAGTTATCGTCCTATGTGAACGTGCCCATTATAAGTCACTTTCAAGTTCAGTTTTTCACGAGACATTTATACATAGTTACAAAAATCGGTTAAGCCTGACAGGATATTGACTATACACAAAAATTATGTGATTTTTGAATGAACTTTTTTGGGTTGTCTCGCTTTTGGGTGTTGTGGTGTGTTCGTTATCCCAGATTCTCCAAAGTACAAGAGCTTAAGCGACGATGTTCAAATTATGGAACAACGTACGTGATGTTGTCTAAAAATAAATAGATGTTAATATTTTCGAAAGTTTTAGATAGTAAGTTATATTGTAGTCTTAAGCTTATTTTGGTGACAAACTAGACAAAATAGGTAAAGCGGATTTACACGACTGAAAATATTTAAGTAAGCTGTTGATCGGGTTGATTATAAGATGTCTTTAATTTTCATAAAACCTCAATTAAAAGGTATGCACTCAAATTTCAACATTAATCATCTGACTCTATTTTATTATATATGATGATATTCTTAATAAAAAATGTTTTAAAAAACCCACTTTATACCTGTTAATCTGAGATAGGACTACCAGGGACAAAGTCAATTTTTTAAAGCATTTTACTTTAAGAAGATTTTCTAGTATAGCATAGTAAATGCAAAATTGGTAAAATATAATAATATGTGTTGATATTTCGTTAAGGGACTAATATCAATATTTGATGTACAGAATGTCTGACATCCAAGAACTGCTGAATTCAATGAAAGTAGAAAAGGATGCATTGCTCGTGGAGAAAGAGAAAGGTGCGACGGGAGACGCCAGCGTCTTGCAAGAGTTCAATTTGCGTCGCCTTAACAGGGAAATGAATCTGCTCTGCAATGAATATGACACTCTTACCACACAGAACACTAGTATTGAGGAGAAATTGACCCAACTAGAGTCCAATCCGCCTAGGTATGTTTAAATATATTTATTTTCATTATTATTATTAAATATTGTAATTCAGATGAAATGAACACATTTACCATTTACATTTTTGAAGGCCATGCTTCTCATAAAAAATATATGTATCAGTTTGTTTAAGTAAAGCCAGATAATAGAAATAATATAATTATATATATTTATTACACATTACTTAGTCATTAATGAAATTTACACACGCTTAAAACGCGTATAAGGTTATAATTAAAAAAGTATTCTCGATAAAATTTTCGATAATACCTACTCAATTTTTGTGTTTTATAGAGCATTTTATAAAAATTAAACGCGCTTATAACTCGTTTTATTGAATATCCAAAATACTTGCGGCTCTTTTTAGGGTTCCGTACCCAAAGGGTCAAACGGGAACCCTATTACTGAGACTTCGTTGTCAGTCTGTCACCAGGCTGTATCTCATCAACTGTGAAAGTTAGACGTTAGAGTTAGAAATTTTCACAGATGTATTTCTGTTGCCGCTATAATATAAACTAAAAAACAGAATAAAATAAATATCTAAGGACTTCCATATAACAAACGGGATTTTTTTGCTCCTTTCGTGCGCCAGTCCGACTCTCCCTTGGCCGGTTTTTCACATTACCAACTCTAACTACTCAATTATAATTAAAAAATATTCTCAAAAACATTTTTATTAAAACGCGCTTGAAATTCGTTATATTGAATCATACAAAATATGTGCGTATCTTTTTAATATTCTTTCCGCTAGCGGCTTCGCCCGTGTGGTCCCTAGAGAACTGTTAATTTGGATATCGATTCATATATTTGTCATTAACACTGATATAATCACAATGACAAGTATTAATTAGTAAACAATGATTACTTTGGCAACGTTTTAATTTCCCATACAACCTTCCATTCTCATTTTCATCTTTTTATTTGTATTTTTTCGGGATAAGTTTGTGCCTGTGTTCACCGCATATGATGTAGCTTTAAGTAGGTAAAAGAATTTGAAAAATCGGACCCGTAGTTTCGGAGCCTATTCGTTGCAAACAAACAACAATCAAATCTTTCCTCTTTATAATATTAGTGTATAGAAATACAATTAAAAAGTATTCTCATCAAAAATTTTAATAGTACTCAATATTATTTTTTGTTATTTTGTATTTCCTAATACTGTCAAAATTTTATCTGATCTTTAAACTGAAATGTAATTTTCAGTTCTGTGTACCTGTCGGTACGAGACAGGCAGATCTTGGACTGGCACTTTGCTAATCTGGAGTTCGCGAATGCCACACCGCTTGGGAATCTGTCGCTGAAGCATTGGGATCAGGACGACGATTTTGAATTCACCGGGAACCATCTAACAGGTAGGAATGCATGTGCGATTTCAGATTTTAAATATATTCTTGATGAAAAACTCTTAAAAAATCCACCAGCCGGAGGTACTCTGAGATAGTACTTGAACCCACGATCTTGTGAACTACGGGCGACTGCTACCACTGAGCTGCCTAGGACCTAACGCGACTGACATACTTTTCAAGCACTTGTTATTTTTCCCTACTAGTGAGATTATTCTTATCAATGTTCAGGGAAATTTACAAATATTTTAAACTTACGATTAAGATGAATATTTTTGTTTTAAGCAAGAATATTTTCCAGCATAGCATTGTTAATGCAAAAATTTATCAAATGTAATAATTAAAAACATAGTTTTTTTAAATTATATTCTTGATAATTGATAGTAGTATATATTATAAGGTATCCGATTATATAATAGATAAGAATGCTTGGACGTAAGATGGTCCAGCAACTGGATAGGTGATTTCTTCTAATCTTATTTATCTCAAAAATTATTTTGTTTCTACTATTACTAAATTATTATGTTATCATTATAAGAACATAGCTTCTTTTTCTCTCTTTTTATAATGTATTAATCTGGTAATAACATGGTTTTTGTGAATGTCATTACTCCAGAGCAGGTGAGTTTCTTGCTACACTAAATGACATGAATTCAGACACATGAGTGAATTCGAATTCAGGAAAACAGACCTAGCAAAGGTTAACCTAGTACGAGGTTCTACGGGAGTAATATTTACTCCTAGAACGTAGTAGGTTTGCTTATTCTCTGTATTATTGCAATTTTAGCGTAAATTAACCCTGACGCTAAACCTTGCTTATTAATAGCGCTGTAAGAGTTCTGCTCCGTTTGTACGGATCTCAGAATATAAAAAGTAGAAGAATTTTGAAGCATTTCACTACCGGATTCGCATTATTAGATGATCATTCCGGTCGAATACTGGTATCAGAAGCCATAAAAACTTTGTGAGCATGTACGAAAAGAGTTTTGTATGTTGGCAAGGAAATGAAAAACGTCTGCTTGCCCCGATACCCCGAAAGAGATTGACGTGAATATATATATAGGTAGATACGTATAGAGTTTGTTCAAAGTACAAAATAATCAATAATCAGTCGAAATTATTTTTTGTGGTAAATTGATAGGCTTTCTTGTCATTTGTTCGAATGCTATAGTACTGTTCTTTTTATATCGAAAGTTCGTTTTTTATTTTTATTTACTCGTTATACGATATGACTAATAAAAAATCAGGTAGATCAATAATCTTAACGTATTGATCGATGTATCTAACTAGACACTATTCGTGAGAAGCTGGGTAGGTACGTCGCCAGTAGCTCTATAGATGCTTCTTATCTCGCGATAAGACGGCTATGCAATAGAATTATAAACCTTAAAGTTTATAACTATTATTTAAAAAAAAACTGTAAACGAAATTGCGTTTCCTTTAATGCCTACAGGTCTGAAGAATGTGAAATAGATGCCTACATAAAATTAAAATAGAAAACAACAGGTTAACACGTTTTAATTGCTGAAGTACAAAAGTTTATTTTTATATATTGTTATACTACTAAGTATTAGTTTATTGTTATATAATGTTGATTATTAAGGTAACGGACAGTTGCACAAACATCCATTAAGGTTTAAGGACGCCTTTAAGCTCTAATGAATGTTAAATTTGTATGGGTAATGTCGCTTTAAACTAATGAGTATTTTAATGGATGTTTGTGCAACTGGCTGTAAGTGTTAGATTGACAAATCACGAGACGTCGACTAGAAGCCTAGGCAGATCACGATCTGGCAAATTCATCATATCATAGTCATCTATTATATATTAATTGTGTACATGTAATTTGTAGTGAAAATGTAATTAGAGTCAACACTGTGCGTGGTGTAAATTAAACGAAGCCTGTAATCTGTCGTGACATTTCAACGCGAATGGTGAGCGTGTTTGGTCATAAATCATTAACTGATATCTGGGACGACACCGTTGATCGATGACAAAATACACCGCTAGTATCGGCACGTACCATTACTTCGATGTGACCAACTATACGAGTATAACTAGATGTACGTAATTTTTATTAATCATATTATTTCTAATAGTATATTATTTATTACTACAAAATCTATATGTATTAATAGCCCGTATAATTCTTTACATACGGTTGTTCATAGGGAAAGTCCTTTTTTCGAACTGCGGAGACATTACTAACCTGAATACGATCATTATCTACTTCGTTATTTTTACAAATATTATAAAAGAAAAGATTTGTTTGTTTGTTTGTATGGACTAGGCTCCGTAAATACTGGACAGATTTTAAAAATTATTTCACCGACGATAAGCTGCATCATACGCGGGTGAAATAAGATATAAATAATTTTCGGTAGGGAAGTCGTGGGAAAACAGCTAGTTATTATTAATTTATAACTAGTATGTTAGTTAGCATAATGTAAAAAACACCGTATCGCACGTGGCATCAAATTTAAGAGAATGCAAATATAATTTAGCTGAATGACTTTCAATTGCTTATCTCAACATAAGGTGGGTTGCCTCCGTTTTGGCCCAAGGGTCCGATCCGTTATATATGAGGTATTTTCGAATTAGTGGCCCCGGAGATCTTTCTCAATGCATGGTAGTCTTCTGCCCCGAGCGTTGTCGGTTCGTGTCAATAATTATGATAATTTCTTGTTACAAATTCCCAAGTCAGTGTCGATAAATTAGCAATTTCTGCGAATCGTCGTAATGACCGTTGCGGAAGTCTATACTTAGGTACTTTACTGAAGTGAGAACTGATGTTTACTTTACAATTATAATATATATTGGCGTAAAGTATGTTTTAGCTTATGCGATCCAAATATTTGGAGATTTTCTTCTAGTGTAATATCTACACTTTTTCAGTGTAAGGAAATTTTGTCGATTTACTTTTGATTAGATTCTGAACTAAATGTTAAGCAGAGGTCGTCCATGGAGCTATTTCAGAAATAAGCTTATTCACTCAAGTTTTTAAGTGTTAGGAAATTTTGTGGACTTACTTTTGACTAGATTCTGAATGTTAAGCAGAGGTCGTCCATAGAGCTATTTCAGAAATAAGCTTATTCACTCGAGTTTTTAAGAGCAGCCAGGCAATACCACTCTGGCTGTGGGAGTTTTAAAATAGAGTAAGAGTAAGACTAAGAGGAACGATTTATTTTTCTATTTATACTTAACATGTTTAAAATTAAAATGCACAGATTGAAATTGCTTTATAATTATGATAAACCGGAAGTATAAAGGCTCTGCTCAAATGACAATGTGAAAGCTAACTGACAGATGGTGATGCCAGGAATGCAACCGACACATATATTAGATATACTTTACCCAATAACACAACCAAATACAAAATAAAGAGTTATTTGCATTTATACCCTTACTCAAGTTTTAAACAGTAAATAATTATTTATCGTTATCGCACTGTTAAATTGGCATCTGAATTGGATACGAGTATAAAACTTTGCAAAATATACTTATACGAGTATACTTGAATATGCTTATACTTGTGTCATATTTATTAAAACAACAAAAGTCGGGGATTACGACATAATTCCATCCTTAATAATTATTTATATGGATACGAGTCTTTCACAATCCCACGCACAGAATTTATAAATCTGCAACAAAAATAGTGTTTGTCTTTCACAACAAGCGTATTTATTTTACGGAAATTTACTATAATCTTATTGATCTATTTATTCAATTTATATTTTTTAGTAATGGATATTGTAAATGTTGAATGCTTACGTCATTATTTTCATTATTGATTTTACATAGTGAGAGAATGAAATCTGTCTCTTTTTTTTTGGGAAAACTCTAAAATATTGTTTAATAAGTTGAAATAGGCCGAAATTTTCTTCCTTTCTCATTTTTTTTTTATACATTGAAATTTGGAGATTAATATTAAACTGTACTCGAGATAAATTTCCATGTTAAATCTTTTTCAGGTTGCTAGTCAGCCATTATGAGTGATTAAAATCACTAGAAGCTAAAGCTTCTGTCAAATGTTTACTAGATGATCTGTGATGTGCAATTGTTTATTTTTGCTTTCGAACCACCAAACAACATTCCCTATTACTTTTTATGGATAAATATAAAGAGTGAAACCACATAACTGTAAGAAGATATGCATCGCGACATCCTCATGATGCCTCTTTTGTACCCACATATATGTAGTCCGTGCAGAGTGCGTGTATTGTCAGCCATATTTCTTGCTGTTCGCTTAGCGTTCGCGGCGTGGGTAGTTGAAAAATGACATCTTGATTGTTGTGCGTTATTCTACTCATGAGAATGTCGGGCCTGAGTCGTCGCGTGTACAGCTATTGTGGTGCCTCGCGGCCGCTGGCCCTACAAATTGAACGATTGTTAACCGTTCCATGAAAACGGTCCTATCGTGACTTGTCACGGAATTATTGTATTTTCCGAATAGTCGTACGTATTTGGTTGGAGTACTCTAATTTAGATGAAATATCTGGTATGACATATACATGTAGAGAAGAAAGTGAAGGAGCAAAGGATACACTCAGATATTACTGCACAATATCTCAAATTAACAATATATAAAATTTACATAAAACTGGCATGCAATATATGTTTTATATGATATATAGCTTTCCGCCTGCGGTTTGCCTAGGGAAATATAAAGTGGGTAGATATAAGTTAGATTGTTTACTCCTGTGTAAACAGCTTATAAATGATTTGGATATAGATTCATATTGTGACAGGGATATAATTACAATGACCAATTGAATAGTAAAGAATGGTTACTATGGTAACGTTTTAATTTCTTAAACATATTTCAACTCCCATTTTCATCCCTTTATTTTCAGTTATTTTGTTAATATATAACCTACTTCCAACGCATACGATGTAGCTTCCCGTAGTTGAAATATTTTTTAAATCATTGTAGTAGTTTCGGATCCTATTCTTTGCAAACAATAAAATCTTTCCTCTTTATAATATTAGTATAAATAAATAAATGCCTTTGAGTTTGTCATAGTATGTGGTCAGTATTTTACAGTCAACAATATGTTAGATTATACAACTCTGTCAAGTTTCTTAACTTGATTCTGACTTTAAAACATAAAGGGTAGACCTGAAAATCGATTGCGAGAAATTAATGTGGTAACTTGCCGCGTTGCTGCGTGTACATTATTAAAATACGTTTTCAATGTTTGTAGGGAAGAACAGCTATTATATCGTTGACCTTCTGTATGTAATTATCAACAACCCTCATTTATTTCTTACTAAGCATCCGTACATCATAAATAAAAAGTCACAAAGCCACAGTGGATATAAATTATAAGCCGTTTTGCTGTTTACTAACGACAAATGGCATCTGGTACAAGTCCCTGAGGTGGTGTCTGAGGCCAAACGATCGTACTAGGCGGGCTCGCGACGGCAACAAGTTTTTGATAACGCCATGCGTGGCGTGAAGCAATAATGAATGTAATACAACCGTGGCTTTCCTCATTTATCACGCGCTCTATGAATAAAATATCTCGACGCACTGCCTTTAGGATAGTCCGTTCGTGCCAGGAACCTAGCAGCACGCTGCGATCGCAATCTTTAAATCCAATAATAGTTCGCAGTAGATATTCGCTTTCCGCTTTGTCTGGTGTGAAACATCGCCGATGGATATGCCGACTTATTAGGGGCAGATTAGCAGAACTTCATATAATACATTCTTAAAGTATTATATGAAGTTCTGCTAATCTGCTCCTAATAAGTTATTAACCGTCGTCCTCTTTTATATTTGTACTATCAAATCGAAGCCGAGAAAGCGTCAGACTCACAATTTCTTAAGGTTCTATTTTGTCGCAAAACAAGTAAGAAAAAATAGAAAGAAAATCTGCTAGGTGTTTCTTTTTCTTTTCTATTCGTTGTTAATAAAACTTTACTGACGTGAAAGTTTTTAGAGATAGTTTCAATTGAGTGTGAATATGCTTACTGTTCTGAATGACAACTGCACTCGAGGACATCATTCGCGACAGTGGGGTTTTCTGCGGGGGCGTCAGGGGCGTGGATGAATACGCAATGAGCGAACGAATGGCTCTATTAACCCGCCGCCATT